AAAAAGAAATCAATGTTTAGTTCTCTGGCAAAGAATTAGGCAGGCAATATTTTCCCAGGAACAGTTATCTCATCTAGAGCACAAAACTCACAGAAGAATTAAAATGACTGGAACACATTTAGAAAGGTAAATGGCAAGCAAAAGGGGATTCCTATTGGAAATAGAAAAAATATTGGTGGATAGCTAATTTTTATTCAGTCTTGAATGGAGAAGATGTCAAAGCTTCTAAAGAATTCAAGGACAGGTTTTTCATAGGCATCTGTGATAAATAAGAAGCACAGCCAGCTCATGTTGAGACACAAACTGGCATTACCCTAATTGAAGGCATTTAGCTCCTGAAGTGAATCTCTGCCGACTGCATTCGTCATGCCCATGGCACGATGTTTATTATTTTGCTTTTAATGTTCAGTACACTTTTTAATGTGTCAAACATATGGAAAATTTATTTCTTCAAGAGCGTGAGAGACAAATAATGTCTGCAAAGCAAATAAATGTCATTCAGCTGTTGCAGCCTGTCCCTGGTTGGAGGTGGTAGGAGGCGGTAGGAGGCAGGCTCAGACTCAGACATACATTTCACCCACTTCCTTAAGAAGGATAATGAAAGAAGATCTGCAAAGTGCCAATAGCAGGACTAAATGCATTTTTAACTATGCAATTGTCTTTTAAAGGGATTTAAATCTCATTCCCACCTGTTACTAAGCAGCTAATAGCTTTCCTCTGAGTGAAACCGAAATGCTCAGAATTTGTTTCTTCCTAACTTGCCGTGACAGTAATGTCACTGGTTTCTGCAAAGGCATTGGACCTGCTCACTTACATCAATGGGATGTTCACTGCTCATTTGCAAGGGATAAAAATAGGATCCATACCCTCAAACCCAGTTCACTATCCAAAGGAAGAACTGCTCAGGCTGCCAGAGCAGCCGGCCTTTGTGTGAACTTTCCACTTCTCAAAATCCCCGGTAGCTGGGGGTCCTGGTGGTCTAAATGCCCACAGAAACACGCCTCTAATGTACACATGCTGAGGGATCACATAAATGCATGTGGAATTTTAACCTCTGTCATGATATGAACGGAGCTGTACAGCCATGATCACTCTTCGTGGTGTATCGCTCCATGGCTATGGAAGCCTTGGTTCCAGGTCTCAGTGCAAAGCCAACTGAGCTTTCCACTTTGCTTTGTCTGGCAGCAACTTTTGCCCCTCGATGGTTGGCTGTGTCATTGGCTTGTTCGGATCCTGCAAGTGTTCACACCCCATGGAGACGAGGCCTTGGTGCCATGGGTTAGCGGTGGCCTGGGCAGTGCTGGGAACGGTTGGACTGGATGGGCTTGAAGGGCTTTTCCAACTGGATTGATTCTGTGATTCTATGACTACGGATGAGCCGCATGGGCAGGTGAAGCCCAGCCACACACAGGAATTGCTCACGAACCTTTAAAGGGTTGCTGTAGAGTTCACTGTGCTACAAGATGGGGTTAAGCAGCCATTTTAGATGCCTTCCACTTTTCTAATTTTCCTTTGCTTCCTTGTATTTATGTTTCTGAGAATAATGAAATGTGAACAAGGTAAATTTATGGAGAAAAAAAAACACATAGCTCTATCTACGCAATGAAGAAACAAGTATTTTAAACTCTCATTTTCCTGCTAAATTGCAAAAGCAGTGCTATCAGCTTCGTGTTTGCCTGTTTTCCACTTGGGTGAATTCTTCATTCTGTTCCTCGAAACAGCAGATTCAGTACAGGAAGAGAGCCGTAAATATTGCAATTGTAGACTTTTTTTTCCTAATTGCTTTTCCAGCACGTTGAATATCTGCAAAGAGCAGGAGGGTACCAAGCATCTGTCTCAGCCTGTTCTTAAGACAGTGACCCCAAAGCAGCACTTGCACCCAATGCCAAGCTGACACCTTTCCAGGAAGAGTTTCAATTCAGACCTTTCAGAAACAAAGGTCTGATTTTATCCAAAAAACAAAACTGATTTTATCCATCTCTTCACATCTGAATTCTGACCTCTCTGGTGTTTAAACATCCTTGGGCAGCATCTCCTTTGGAAACCCAGCAAAAATGGGTCAGCTCTTCCTGTAACCTGAGCTGTCACCTCATTTAATCATATACTCACACACAAAATTCAATCTCTGCCATGGAAGTAAAAATCTTATCCTCTTTGAAAATACTATCAGTGAAATGAAAATTCAGTTGTAAGTTATGGCAAAATATTCTTAACCCATAGAAGAAAGGTTTTAACTTTTTATTGCCATAATGACAGGCACTAAAACGCTGGTGTAAAATCTCTCACTGGTTTCACACCACCTCTTTTACAGCATTAAAAATGTATTAAAACAGAGTTGTTACTGCCTTGTAATACTTGCTCATGCTGTCAGTCCTGGTTTTTGTGATCACAGGATCAAAGACAATCGTCAGGAAGCAGAAGGTTTAGTATCAGATTTGCAATATGCCTCTTGAAGCTGCCTACCCACACCAGACAAGCAGAAGCCGATGCAGTGAAACACCATGTTTGCCATCACTGCTGCCTTGATTATGAAAACATATTTTTGATTAGCTTCATTAGATTTGAAGAAAAGTCAGTAGAGTTTCTGAATTGACGTTTTCCATTTAACTGTACTGGGGGGTTCATCGCACAGCGATGACGTTTTCCTTTCCAACATCTAATTGGATTTCACAGAAATCCTGCAGTTACTTTTGGCCACTTTCCATTTTGTGATTGTTTAGTTTTATTGGCAACTGGATTAATTTGTCCTACCCACTTAAAACAGTCTGCTTCTAAGGAAGTCCCTGTTGACCCGTGCATTCCCAAAAGCGTGTTCACTATGACCCATGCATTCACAAAAGCATTGATCTCTCACAGTTTTAGTGTCTTGGACATGATTATAGAAGCCTTTGAGTTGTAGAGCAGATTCCTGATTATGTTAACTTTGTCTTTGGATTCTCAGGGTAACCTTGGCATTGTCAGGTTGGTATTTAGACAAATTAGGCTTTAGTACAATAAGCAATATGTCATTAATAACCATGGAAAGAATTATAAGTACAAATACAGCACTGAAAATTGCTAGACTGAGATGCTCAAAAGCTTTGCCACTTATTCTTGGGCTCCCACAGCTTTTTTTCTACTCAGGAGCAGGAAATACCTTACAATTCTTTTTGGTTGGACGGATGTGTTTAAAACCCCTGTTACCTGACCAGGAAGTTGAGACCAGTATTACATCTTTTCAGTCTTAACACAAAAAGAGAACTGAGGAAGACAAATCATGTTTATCGGGAGATAACATGTAGGGCATTTTATCTAAACAGTGAGAGCACTCATCAAACTAAAATTTAAAAAATCACAGAAATCTCATTTTTTAACAGGAGATTCTCAATGACTTCTCAGACAACAATTTGAGTCAGAAAAAAAGACCCAATCCCTAATTACCTGGCTATTCCCCAGAGCGGTGATGGTGAACAGTAGCTCTAGTACCCGGTTCCTTTCTCTTTCAATACCTCTACTGCCACAGGTGAGTACCCTCACCCTGATTTGCAGAACTCTTGTGAAACCCTTCAGCATCACAGCTCTGAAAACCCATCTCCATCAGCATCAGCTCTACCTGGCACAAATGCCTTTCCTGAACCCAAAGGGGCCTCCCATAAATCCCATATCCCTAACTGCTAGCAGTATCTCATGCTTTGTAAAGACCTGTCTGATCGGGGTAAAAGCTTTAGGTATTTTAATTTACTCTGGTTAGTAATAAAGCTGCCGTGTGTTTATACTCTTGGTCTTAACAGCCAACATATCAAAACCAAACCCATAAACAGACCATCCTGATGCTTATCTTGTGATGCAGTGCCATAAAGAGAAGATTGGGCACTTGTTATTCTACTTTCATATGTATTTGCATTTAGATCACTTAAAAGTTGGGAGCATATAAAAGAAAACTCGAAGGTTTCTTCATCTCTTTTTGTTCATTTACATCAGAAAATCTGCATATAAATAGTAAATCAGATCTGAACATGTGTTTTCTGGAGAGATGCTATTAAAACATACTTCTTAATGCTAATTGCTACCACTGGCATTAATTTGTGATTGCATATTTCTGAATTAGACCAAGTAGATGACCTATAGCCCCAGTTTCTCTATGGTGTCACAGGCAGATGAATACAAAACATGACTTTCCCCAAGAAAATTCCTTTCTCCAAACAAATACTGCTACAATCACCATTGTTAGAAAAACTCATCAGCAAGAAACGAGAAGAAATATGGAGGACAACTCTGCTTTTATTGGCTGGCAGTAGGTTCTAGAAATACTGTATCTTAGATCACCAGACAAAGATCAACTGTATCTGAAGAGTAGATTTATTTTCTTTATTTTCTGTACTTCAGGTTTCACAATGTTCGTGGTTTTAGCAGTAAGGTGTGGAAAACCACAAAGCTATTGTTCTGTTAATGATTAGTGCCTACCAGCAGTTTCTCTTTGCCCCTGACTCTTTCAGATATATCTCATCATTAACAACCCACCATGAGAAAAAAGCCTTTCAGTCAGTTTGGATGTACACTTATCACTGCTTCACAGGCATCACTATATATATGCGTTAAAAGAATTGAAACAGTATTTATGCCTCTACGTTAGCACAAAAGAGACAGCAAACGTTTGACTATTAATCTGCTTTTCCTTTCCCCTGAACAAAGGCTGAGATAAAGTGCATCTCTGCTTAATTTAGTATGCAAAATCTTTCCTTTTCCTTTCTTACGATCACAATAGTACATTTCATTGTCTCAAATTAATTAATAAGCCTTCTGAAGAACAAACAGAGCAAGGCACAACCTCCAGCTCAGGAGGACTTCGGAGGCAAGGTCTCCATGATGTTGGTGGCCGAGCCCCCACCACACACAGCCAGAGCCAGCACCTATTTGCCCCCAACACACTCTCCTGGTGCCCTTCCTTTCAGGAATCTTTCACCATCATACTTCAGGTTTAAATCTGAAGTAAATTCAGTTTTAAACTTCCTTCCCCGAGCTCTTCATCGATGCGCTATGGCTTGTGTTCCCTTGGCGCTCAGTAGCTTGATGTCCTGTATTAACTTCTCACCAGCTATCTGTCCTGTCCCCTGTCCAGAACAATATACTTTGAGATTGGCAACATTCAGAAGAGATTAAAAAAGCTCTGGCACATACTGCACAAAGCCACTCCAAGTCCAGTGTCTGTGAATAAAAATTATCCCACAAAGGACAAGAAAAAGGAAGCTACTTTATTTTTCAGTTAGGATTTATTTCCCTGAAAGAAAAATGGTGCCAGAATCATTAGTGAGAACAGTGCTAGAATGTAAAATATGTTTGCACAGAGCCTACATTTTCCTTAGTGCAGATCATACTTCTTGTATTCAGAGGACTTTAAAGGAACTTTTGCAGATGGATGACCTATTCATTAACAATAGTCAATGTGTGATTCTGCAACAGCTGGGCTTTGAGGTGCAAAAACCCACATCACAAAATGCCACCAAATACAACTATGAACAGAGCTTTTAAAAAATACTTTATGAGTGGTGTTTGAAATGAAGATATAACAAAGATGGAGTTATACCCTAGGTATAAAGGAGTTGGGAAAGGTGATTGGAATTAGAGGTTATGACTCTGCAACAGGCAAAGAGAGCAAACTCAGTGCTCTTCCTGTTGTAGGTACATGGCATGACACCTTTATCGTTATACAGGAAAAGCAAAGAAGGCACCATCCAAAGAAAGGGAAATTTCAGTGATGATGGAAGGAAATATTCCAAATATTTCTCAGGCCTTTAATAACAATAATTATTCTATTAAAATAAAAGCCCACAGATTTTATTTATCCACACATGCTGTGGTTTCCTACCTGTTTCTGTTTATTTATTTTATTTATTACATATTTGAGTTTGATAACACTGTCTCCAAAAGAATTTGGAAAAGTAGTCGCCCTTCTTCCCCTTCTCCTCTCCTGCAGCTGGCTCCATGGCTTTTCCTAATGAGCATTTCAAATGGGAATGGACTGTCTGGATTCTTACACCATGCATAAAGGGATATCTGTGCAAGGATGCACGAGGACAATGGTGCGGTTTTGCAGTCTGCTTTTCTTAAAGGCCAGGTAATTCTGTGATTTTAAAATGTGGCATTAAACAAACGCATGTTACAAAAGGAAAGCTCTCAAAAAATGAGGTGATGCAAGAACCGAGGTTGCTTTGAGTGTGAGCGTTATAACTGGACCTTGCAGTTCACCACCAGATGCTTGGCCTCCCTCACTGCCCCTCCGGCATCTCCCTCATGCAGAGGATTCACTTACCAAACCCAGCTTTTTATTGACCTGATGTTTCCCATTTTCAGATAGATGCTCAGCCTGAGACACTGAGATCCAGCTTGCAGAGCTGCTGGTTTGCAACTAGAGTTGTCTCTTATTGAGTGGAAACAGCATGAGTAGGGTTTAATTCATAAAGATAAGTGCAAAGGGTTGCATCTACAGAGACATAACAAATCACAGAATCCCTGCCTGGTTTGGGCTGGAAGGGACCTTAAAGCTCCTCCAGCTCCAACCCCTGCCACAGGCAGGGACACCTTCCACTAGAGCAGCTTGCTCCAAACCTTGTCCAACCTGACCTTAAACACTGCCGGGGTGGAGCACCCTTACTGTGTTGAATCATCATTGTGTTGAATTCCATCAATACAACTGATTACATTACAGAGGAATTGCTCTTTAAAAAGTTATTCTGCAGGAAAGGCTCTGGACAGCACAGACAATGGCAAAGTGAAGACAAAACCCCAAACACCACCCTAAAGCACACGGGGATAAAAGCAACCCAGTATGGCTCATTGGGCAAGGTACATTGCAGGAGGATGTATCGTACCCAAAGCAAGCACCAAACCAGCCAGGACTGGGGAAAGCAATGCCTACTGGGAAAGAGGAAGAAGCAGGCTGGAGAAATAAAAATAAAGAGATATGCATGGTGACAGTCTTCAAAGATGCAAAAGAAATTGAAATAAGTTGGTTTTCCTCTTCCCAGGAAAGGAGCAAAATGCAATGGATTAAACTGAAGCAAAGAACATAGAAGTCAGACATTAAGCACTTGAATAGATCAGCTCAGAAAGTCACAAAATCTCCATCATTAAGGGTTAGGCATTTATCCTACCTGGATATCCTGGATTTTATCCTATCCACAGCAAGGGGAATTACTGCGTGACTTGATATCCCTTCCAGTGCTATATTTAACCATTTCTGTGATTAAATATGGATGTAATTAATAGTACCAGGTAGTCTGAAAAAACAGCTATGAGGCATGTCAGATTTGGCAAAATTAATAGATACTTTTGTGCTTAATCTTTCTGTACCTTAATTTTCCATTTAAAAACATGGGCAATGCCTTCTCCTCTCACAGGAGTGTTGGGAAGAAAACAAATTAACTTTGTGAAGCATTCTAGCACGAGCAGGAACAGCACTATAGGAGATCCCATGGAGAAACTTATAATTCTGGCTATACAGGAGGGTGTAATTAGCGTGCATAAGGATGTGCTGCATCAGGCAGTGAGCAACGTGGACAGTGTATCCGTCTCCATGTAATTAAATGGTAAATCATCACAAATACAGGAATATATTAAGTCAAGAATAATTCTCCCAAGCCTCAAGGACTTGATTTTCCAGCCTTAGCAATTACCCTGCAATGTTGCAGATGCATGATGAGAAATGTACCCACCGTGTGTCCAGCAGCACTAAATCCATTTGACTCCAGATTCTCACAGAGACCTCAAAACCTTCCCAGGGCCCCTGTCCGCAGGGATAACCAAGTGCAAAGGACCCAGTATCATGCAGCTCCTCATGACATAAAGCAGGAAGAGGGTTACAGCTCCTTTGGTTCTTCATACAGACAAATACAACATGTTTCAGGGCACAACACAGATGTACACAGAGGGAAGCACCATGACCAAAACCATCACACATTTACGTACAAGAGAAGTGTGCGCTGCTGGGAAAGATCTGGAACTGAGCTGTGAGCACCAGAGCAGATTTTGAGGGATATTGCCTTAACTACATCAGATAACTAGCCTTACTGGCTGTATGCACACTGCACGTGTCCGTGCAAAGGTAGACATGTACAGATTCATTTTGCAATTACCTGCCAAGGTGTTTTCCTGTTATCTTACTGAAGAAATGTTCATTTATAACCCACAGAAAAGACCAAAGACCAAGACAGTTGTTTCCAGAGACTTTGTGTTTTCACTTACCTCTGGAGCATGGGAAGCCCCCAGTACAGCTCAGCAACTGAAAATCGGTACAGGAATACAAGTGAAAGCTCTCACCTGCAAGTGTGGTTTTATTTAGTTATCTTATTTTAGCAGTGATCAAAGCTTTATATTTTAATGTTTTCCTTCACAGGGAGTCACGTTCTATCGATGATTGCAGATCTAGGAATTACTCTTTGAATTTAGGGAAATCACCTCAACTTTTATTAATTACATCCCGGGCGCTCTGTATGCAGGTTTCCCTACTGACATCAAGCTTCTCATGTTCTTTGGGAGAATGTTCCTCCCTATATACAAAACAAAGGTACCAATGGAAAGTGCAGACTCAGCTTGCCCTGGCAGGGCTGTTTAATGCTGATTTCTCCTCCACAAAAGTTTAATTTGCCCACAAAGCGTGAGAGCTTCTGCCTATGCAAGCACTGCAGAGAAAGCCTCCTCTGTACAGCCCCGAGGGGTAACGCCACACAGGCAACTTAAACTCAATTAACTCTAAATCAAACCATTTCCTACCCCAGATGGAGCTGTAATGGGGTTATTTGTATTTGGCCAACATTAAACACAGTTACTGTGAAATGCTGACTCAGCTCCCAGAATCATAGAATAGAATCACAGCATCACCCAGGTTGGAAAAGCCCTCCAAGCTCCTCCAGTCCAACCCTTACCCCAGCACTGCCCAGGCCACCCCCAACCCATGGCACTGGGGCCTCGTCTCCACGCTGTGTGAACCCTTGCAGGGACGGTGCCTGCAGCCCTGCCCTGGGCAGCCTGTTCCAATGCCTGAGCACCCTCTGGGGCAGGAATTGTTCCTCAGCTCCATCTAAACCTGCCCTGGTGCAGCTTGAGGCCGTTTCCTCTTGTCCCATCCCTTGTTCCTTGGGAGCAGAGCCCAGCCCCTCCTGGCCCCATCCTCCTGTCAGTTAGAAGAGCTCAGATCCATTATGACTGCGATCAACAAGAGCTGCACTGTTTGCACTGTGCGGGGCAAAACAATCGTTCTGGGGAGAGCAACAGGGATTTGTAGGAAGCAAAGACGTGCCCATGACTCAGGGCAGCAACCAAGGCGATGCTGAAAGCGATGGAGATGGCTGAGGGTCCTGTACAGAGCCAGGGAGCTGCACAGCAGCCAAGAGACCTCTGCAAACATGGATCTTGCACCTCCCGGCCAATGGAGGGGTCAGCTGCTGTGCCTTGCTCACGTTGCCTTCTCTGGGCTCACCAGCAACACGAGATCTCTGCTGGGAATCCTGTCTCCGATCAAAGCTGTTCACATCTCTCTGGGCTGACCACATATGAACGCTGCTCATATGGGTCCGCTCCTCCCTGTAAAGAACAGTGTTTCCCAGGGATTCCCAAACTGCCACCTTTTCCTGTGGCCTTACTACATCCTGAAAATTCCAATTACATTTTGCACACAGCATCCCAATGGCAAACACACATCGCTGTTGCCAAGCAGAGACAAAATGTGGTCATCCCAGATAACAGCATGTTGCCTTCGCTTGCCATCGCAGGACACTGCATGTCAAAATCATCAATGCTAATGATAATAATTTCATCTTAAATGACATTTTCCATCCACAGATCACAAGCTGGTGTTTGGGAACTGCAGGCTCGGAGCCCCACAGCAGCTCAGCACAGCCACGGCTGCTCCAGCTCATTGCTTTCCTTTCCATTTTATCAAATTTACTTTCTTTCTTCTGCAGTGTCACAGGTTAAGCACACTGAACTAAACCAGGCTATTTTGAGACACTTGTGTTCTGCACTACAGCAAGGAAAAATCCTGCTCCAGGCTTCCTTGCATGCACGTCTCCACCTCCTGAGTAAATCAGGAGAGATAGCATCACCCCCACAGTCGTTCTAGCCTTCAGAGAGAAACCTCCCTCATCCCTCAGGCCCGGCACTGATCCCCATGTGCTCATGCAATGGGCAGGAGGGAAGGCAGCCTCCCCAGGGCTCCAAAGTTACACTCAGTATCATGTTTTCTTATTGTAAATATTGATTAATAAGTGCAGATCACTAAAAAAGCCAGGAAACCTTTAGAAGGAAGAAGCAACGAAGACCCCTGCAGCACCCTCCACCCTCATTCAGGCCAAGCAAATCACAGATGCGCACATTGCTATTTTCCATTTTGCAGCCCCACAGGCGATGTCTTCTTGCTTCAAGAGACCAAGTCAGAACTGATTACCATGCTCAGGCTGCTTTGCAGCACTTGGTGTGGAGGACCACATCCTGAAGGAGCTTTCCATACTCAGGTGCTTTGCTCAGAGCAGTTCTTGCAGCTCCAGCACAGGGGCTGAGGATGCTCAGGGGCTTCCCTGCAAAAAAAAAAACAACTTTCCAGGCATTTTCCAAGAAAAACTGTACCAGTAATGGCATAAAATTTACAGAGATTTTTCCCCAAAGAAAGATCTCAGAAATAGATTTTCCAATATTACTGGCAGTGGGAGAGATTTCGAGGCTGAGGAATTAGTGCAGATACAGTGCCCCAGAAGGATAAATGGATACAAAATGATTTAGGGCCATTCTGGATCTATAGATGTTTACTGAACCTGTGTGTACAGATCATCACCGGGGACGGCTCTAAGCCAGTGTCAACAGCGAGATATACACCCTCATCAAATATCACCTTATGAGATTAAACACTGAGCGAGATCAACTGAACACTAATTCAAGCATGCAGGACACAGCTGCAGAAACAACAGTTCCTGAGCATTCGGAGGCTCTTGCCCCAACTTCAGTTATAAATAACAGGAAAGAAGAATAACCCCGAGTGAATTTTAACTGATTCACCCTTGCTATGACACAGAAACGTTCCCCCTTCACGCACGATACAGAAATAACTCACCTCACTCTCCACAGCCATGCATCTCAAGTACTCGCAGTGAGACAATTACAGGTCCTAGAAAACACCTTCGTTTTCATGGTGTACTTCAAGAATTTACCTCACCTTTGTTATCTTTCAGCATCGCACTGGTACTGGGGATGTTTGCCAACCAGGCATCCGGATGTGCTGCCCTGCTCCAGAGGGCCCCACAGCAGAGGCTGCCGCTCTCTTGTCCCTCTCCCTGTAATTTCCTTTAGGGATCACACATCTTGGGCTGTACTTTTCTAGGTGCCCTGCACAGGGGTACCAGCCTGGGCAGGTTTGGACTCACAGGTTTTGCTAGAGGTGGTTTGAAATGTGTTGCTCCTGCTCCACAGTTAAGTTACAGCAAAGAAGAGAGGTGCAGGCATGGAATTCTTCCTTAGGGAAGAGAGCATGCATCCTTGCTTCAGCTCCCTGTGCAATGTTCTTATGTGCAAGACAAAACAACTGTGTTAAATCTCAATGAATAACATATAATGAAATTAAAGAGAATAAAACAAAGTAAATGAGAGGTTCCTGTAAGTCTTGAATGCATGATTTTGTACACACAGAATAGTGGAGGGATGCAGGGACCACAAAGCTGAACTGTGAAGCGTACACATAGAAGCAGGGCGAGGTTTTAACGTCTGAGCTGATCAGTAGCACATGGAGCCCAGCATGGCAACGGGAGAAACCAAAACCAACTCCCTACTTGAGTCAAGTCCTCTGCTGAGCCCCCTCAGCTGTGTTAGGAACCCTTTGCCATCCACACAGAGGCTACAAACTTCTTTTTAGGGGCTGATGTTGTGCTTGGGGAAGGAAAAGCGGTTGTTGCATCAAAATCGAGACTCTGAAAACACAGGGATGTGTTTATTGAAACAGAACAAATGTGCCTTGCTTTGCCTGTGGCGTGTTTGGGTAGAACCTGAAGTGAGAAATGAAGCTGGGGTTTAGGCTGGTTTATTTATTTCAAGTTCTTTAACTTTCCTGGAGAAGGACTTTCCTAAGGAAGAGTGATTTGTTGATTCGCTTTTATCGATTCCATTTCCTGTTATGCTGCACAAAGAAAATATGAACTTGTTACACAAAGGAAAATAACATCCCATTTGGCTACAGCTGAAACTGAAGGGAAATGGTGTTTTCTACCCTGAACGTGGCAGCCCACCAGGCTGAGCTGCCCCACACTGGGGACTCCCTAGCAAGGTCCCAGTGCGCACCCACCGGTACCCACAGAGCAGCAGAACATCAGCACAGATCGAATGAGTTAGAGAAAGAAACAGGACCTTTCAGCACTGCAGAAGGTTGACCACTGCTCCCATCATGGGCTCCACATACCTGGATGAGGTGGGACCTGAGGTTCAGCCTCTGCCAGATTACCAGCAGGGCCTTGGGGCTGAAAATCCCATTCCTGTATGGAAAAACTCATATCTGTAGCCATACCACAGATTCCATCCTCCTTCTACTTCAGTATACACCAGCAACCAGAGAGAGACCTGCTACCTGTGGTAAGGGCAGTCCCTGGGCATGCATCAGGTCTGGGCTCTCCTATAGCCAAGTCATTCCCCCATCACCCAGCTTCTCTTTCATGGGGAAAAAGGAAAGAAGAGAAAAAAAAGCTAAAAATTCAATATTTAAAGCTAGTTTGAACATTAATCTTAAGCATTATTCCTTCCTAATGCTGCTTAAAACAAGCCATAAAATCTCTCTTGGTACTTGGCCCACACCATGTTGCATCTGTCCTGGCCACCCAGCCTTCCCCTGCTCGCGCTTTGAGATCCCTTCACTGTTCATGGACTAGATCACAAAGGAAGGTGGATCAAATGGATTCTTGAACCCAGCCAACCAGATAAATCAGATTTTCCTAGCAACAACATAACTCTGTGCCAGAAAGAGCAGAAATTAAACTATACAATACAGTTTGTATTGTACAACTGGCCCCAATGGAAGCCCCAGAGCAGGGTCCTTTTTATACTTCTTATAGAAGTGATATTTCTTTTACTTGTTTTTACTTTACTTTTCTTTTACTTAATATTTGATGTAGACTTCTTTCATAGAAAAGATTTGATGAAAAGTTCTAACCTGATTCTATGGAATAGAATCAGATTCAGGGGGTCTATAGGGATGCTGGGGAGGGACTCTTCATTAGGGACTGTAGTGACAGGACAAGGGCTAACGGGTTAAAACTTAAACAGGGGAAGTTTAGATTGGATATAAGGAGGAAATTCTTTCCTGTGAGGGTGGTGAGGCACTGGAATGGGTTGCCCAGGGAAGCTGTGAATGCTCCATCCCTGGCAGTGTTCAAGGCCAGGTTGGACACAGGGGCTTGGGTGCCATGGTTTAGTGTGAGGTGTCCCTGCCCATGGCAG